TAGATAGATAGATAGATAGATAGATAGATAGATAGATAGATAGATAGATAGATAGATAGATAGATAGATATAGAGATAGAGATATATATGGCTATTACTAAGAGCCCCTTTATGAAGGAGATGGATGGTTAAGAAGTTTGATAAATAAGGTAATAGCAAAAGAAGCTCAATGAGATATACCTACACAGTCATAGAAAGATGCTCTTTATCTTTGTTCATTGGCTTTCTTTTGCTTGGGTAAATTTTCTATGGAGAGTGTTAGGTGTTTTCAAAAGCTGTGCAGCAAAAAAAGTGCATAGCAGCCCTCTCTATCCAGATGTTTCGGATTTTAATATGTCCCAGCGAAGAGGTCAGTGTTAAGGTAATACGCCAATTGCCCAAAAGATCTGCAAGTACCAAATTGTTTATTCTCCTCTCATTTTTTCTTCTATTTGTATAATGTACCATATTATTATATAATAAGAATTGTGGCCTTTGAACTATGGTGCTGGAGAAGACAAGGCAATCAAACCAGTTAGTCCTAGAGGAGATCAATCCTGACTGCTCTTTAGAAGGCCAGATCCTGAAGATGAAACTCAAATTTCTTTGGCCACCTAATGAAAAGGAAGATCTCACTGGAGAAGAGCCTAATGCTGTGAACGATTGAGGGCAAAAGAAGAAGGGGGAGACAGAGAATGAGATGGCTGGATGGAGTCACTGAAGCAGTCGGTGTGAGCTTAAAAATGGACTCGGGGATGGCAGAGGACAGGAAGCCCTGGAGGAATATTGTCCATGGGGTTGCAATGGGTCAGACATGACTTCATGACTAACAACAACAATCACCACGCTATGTTTTTGCTTTCTGTACTGGGTATGTTTCATATAGTATTTTTTTTCTATAGAAGGTATTGATCGTTGCTTTTTTAGAGTGGCACAGAAATATGTTTAATGAACAAGTAGGGACAAACATATTTTGTTTGAACTGGTTAAGATGAAATAACTTTTGGAGGAGGAGAAGCCATAGTCACATGTTTTGACTATGTATCCAGCAGGAAGCTACTTGGACCTTATTAAAATAACACTTTTATACTTTTATTCTGTAAAAAGGGTATAGAAAATTTGGTAATACATATCAAATCAATTTTAAACGCAACCTAAACTGACATTTGTATTGTTTAACAATATATACGGTAGGTATCAGAAGCTAGAAGATACCATTTTATTGAAATGAACAAAATAAGGAACAATTCCACTCATATATGGTACTGGAAACAGATAATGTATTTTGATATATTTTTGTTTCATTCTGAATATGGTCAATTTTTGTGATTCTGAACACTGTAAACAAACTTCATCCTTTAATAAATTTGTTTGAATGTTAAGTTGATAAACAATAATGTATAAAGTAAACAATACTGTATATTTGCCCTTTATTCAAGATTTCCAGTAATCTTGGCATTATGTTTTTTATAAGACAAAATGTATAATATTTGCTGTGTTAAAACAATTAGTCTAAAATTGTGTATTCATCCCACATTCTGCAATCATTTCTAAAGTAGCAATTTACGTAGTCATCTAGCCATCACTGGGGCAATTGATCTCCTCTAAGGACAGACTGTTGGAAGGAATTGGTGATGCTATAAAATATAAATGACCACCTTTCTGACTGTTGCATAACTCTTAAAGAGATAAAAGGCGTAAGAAAGGGTATTTTACAAAACAACCATTCTGCTTCTTTTCCTTTACAATTGCCAAATAAAGTTTTTGGCTTCTGAAAAATCAAAAGAATGAACACTTCTAGTTAATTGCCCATTATGTAATTTTTGTTGCAGAGACTGAATCCTTCCAATATGAAAAGTGACATGTTTTATAGTCCTTTACTGCCACCTTATGTGATTTCTTGCCACTGCACATCAAACCAAAGGTTACAATACCACAATTTCCCCATCTTAATGAATAGCTTGAGGATAGATGGTTGCGGTGACAGAGAAAAGTACAGTATATATCATGTAGAAGATGGAACTACTACCATACGCCTTTTCTCAACCCTACGGCAAAATGCCATTGTATCTGTTCCTCTCTTCTCCATGTCTGTTAAAAATGCAGGAACATTGCCCGCTTTCATATAATATCCTAGGTCTAGGACATAGTTTTACAATAAAAATTGTTTAAGCACCACATCCACCACCCAGCATCAGGGCTGTCAGAGAATGCTCCATAATCCTGGGAAATGGTGCAAGGGCTAGATTTTTCCCTTCCTGAATAATTATTTAAAATAAACTCTGAACGCAGAGACCTAATGTTCCATATTGGGGATCTTCTGGTAACTCTAGCCTGTAAGTAGAGCGGAGAATGCTGTTCTAGGCCCCCAGTTGCTCCTGGTAAAAATCATTGTGGAACTGAGAATATGATGTGTTGGTGTGTGTGTGTGTGTGGGGGGAATGGATAAACTGGCTGACACGGACTAGGGATTGCTGGATTCTGAAGCAGAAGCAATGTAAAGAGCCAGATTACCTAGCTGTTTGGTATGTTTGTCCTTTTGATATTGTATGGGGTTCTTTCTTACAGAATAAGAATTAGAGTTGATAAAGATATGAAGAAGATCAGAGGGAATTGATTTGTTGGGTGGCGTTGGGGGAGAAAACGATGTCATGGTAATGGGGTGGTGAGAATCTGGTGGGAGATAAGAGGCAGATCACTCTAGAACAGTGTTTTTCAACCACTGTGCCGCGGCACACTAGTGTGCCGTGACATAGTGTAAGGTGTGCCGTGGGAAAATTACTTTATATACAGTCAATATAGGCACAGAGTTAAATTTTTTTAACATTTTCTAATGGTGGTGTGCCTCGTAATTTTTTTCATGAAAAAAGTGTGCCTTTGCACAAAAAAGGTTGAAAAACACTGAACTAGGGAACATTATCAGTGCCAGGAGGGAGAAAGAGGAAAGAAGGAAGGAAGGAAGGAAGGAAGGAAGGAAGGAAGGAAGGAAGGAAGGAGGGGAGGAAGGAGGGGAGGAAGGCTGTGGGATCCTTGATG